ATTCCCGCCCCCCCCCAAACCTTGCGGTTCTGGAAGATGATCCCCTCCCACATCCATGTGGCTTTGCTGTTTGTGCAGTAAGGGGAGTGATCCTTCCCTATGTAATAGGACATCCACGTCTTGGTTCATATGTACTGGAGAAGTGCTCTGAGATCCTCAAGAGAAAGGTGTTGTAAAAAAAGGTTGTGGCCACCTCTTCCCTAGTGTCCCTCGAGAGCCAAGTATATTTGCTCCCAACCCAACTCCCCCTCCAAAAAGACTCCGCTGGCAACGATTGCTTCTGGATTTGCAGTCAGTAGCCATCTCCAATAACCATCAGGCTGTCAGCTTTGCGGCTCCCCGCCCCAGCTCCCACCTCCCCCATCACTCACTAGAGGAAAAAGAGCTGGAGCCAGAGCTTGAAATATATCATGCAATAGTGTATCATGAATTTCTTGTGAATCACATTGGTGAAGCAGGTTTATTTATTTCAGAGACTTTAAATCAATACAAAGTAGGTCTCTTAGTTCTGAAGCTGGGATGGAGTGTGAAAAAATGAGCCCATTGTACTCTTAAAACTTTGGGGAAAGGAGATGACAGCTATATAATTCCATTTACCAGGCACTAGGGGCTTTAATGTGAAGGTGACAGGGAGCTCTTTGTGCATTTAGAGCACCATATCTTCTAAATAAAAGATCTGTAGACTTGATAGTGGAGTATAGCTCTGACTTTAATAATCTCCAAGCATTAGACCGAGCCAATATGTTCCCAAGTCAGAAAGGTCCCCCACCGAACGCTCGTAAATTAAAAGTGCAGGAACTGCACACATTCATAGATTAGAAATGCAAGAACTGCAATCTGTTTCCAGACAGAGAAGGGGTGTCTGGGTTCTTGCCAGACCCAAGAAACGGGTCTGTTTAGAGGCATGGCTCTTGGCTCTTTGTCATTCCAACGTTCATTGGCATCCGAACCCAGCTCTGTTCTCGTGTCGTGAGTCGTCGCTGTTCCATCCTCTAATGGCTTAATGTGCCTGCTAGAAGTGCAAAATGATTTCAACGAAAGCTGTACGATTTGTTGAGAGTCAACTGCAGAAAAAAGCACTTGGGCTTTAAGTCTCTACAATGCGATTTTTGATGAGACCATTATTTTGATGATTTCTTGCAGTTTATTAAAGCAACCGGCTATTTATAATGGCCATGGTTTGGTTCTTTTTCTTTCTCCTTCTCTCATTTCTGGCACTCAGCGTAAGCCATGCTTTACTGCCGTGAACATTATTTGGACAAACGCCGTGTTCAGATCTTACATGAGTGAAGATGAACATCGTCTGCTGGGAACATAATAGCAAGTCCAGGCACAGTATTTGAAGTTTCCGTTCTAGCCCCCTGCTTTTGGTTTTTCTGATCTTTCATCTCAGCGGCACATACAGGCCACCTAAGTTTGCAAAGAAACCTGCTTTTCTAGCAGACTGCCCGAGTTAACCAGCTTCTCCATTGTTGGAAATAAGCTGGAGGGAAGGCTACAGATCTTGAAGATTTAGAGGGCTGACAAAATTATTCATGTGCATGGGGAGCATGACACACTTGCAAATGTATTGAAGGGGATTTTCATGGGAGCAAAGGGCAGTTAAAGTCTCAACTCTGCTTTATGCCTGTCCAAATCCTTGCCCAGTATCAGCAGAGATGTGATGGGCCATTTTGCCAATGCAGTCGAAGTAGGAAAGAGCTGCCTGGTAGTTACCAATGAGGTAAATGTTACCTGATACTACATGTGCACAAAAGCTGTGATACGTAAAACACCACATTTTTGAGGCTGATCCATGCAGTGCCGTGTTTATACACATTTTGTCCATAAAACTCCTGCTTTCCCCTTCCCTGAGGCTGGCTGAATCTCCCTTGCCTCTGAATTTCAGGCTGGAGGTATTTTTTACCACCGACTGTAGGATCTGCTACTGAACACACCTGCCTGGCTGTTGGGTGTTCACTGCTTAGAGTGGGTGTGTAATAGTTTGGGATCCAAAGTTGACTTCTAACCAGTCTGTCTCACTGGGGGCTTTTGTAAACCTGTCAGTCAAACTTGCCTGTTGGTCGGCATTTTCCAAACACACACGTGTCTTTGCTGCCTGTGTGTCCCACTGAAGAACACCCTGATTGCATAAGCATCGACTCCTATGATTTTCCCGCTATCTCATTCTCTTTCAGCCTTGGATATTTTCTTGCAGACACATTTATACAGCAATATGCATTGCACCATTTAAAATTGTTAATTGGAGATTGAATTACTTGTCAGCCTTTAAAAATGTAGTCCTCACAGGTCAGAGATGAGGTGGTTAGCAGGGCTGAATGGATGAGCTATTGCATTCATTTTTTCTCAAGCCAAATGATCACTGTCTGTAAGCTGGCTAGCCCCTCGGTGCCTTTTAACTTCTGGCACCCTTGCTGAAATCCAGTCTGCAGCCACCTGTGTATGATGAGTTGGCAGGATCTCTGGCCAGTTCCCAACAAAACTGGGGGGATGCACATGCAAAAGGTGGGGGTTTATGGGATGGAGAGGGGAATCCAGCTGATCTCATTCCAGCTGGCAGCATGGAGTTTGGCCCTTAAACCCCTTGAGCATGTAGTCCTTGGAGTCCCAAGGATGCTTGCTGTGATTTAAATCATGCTTTAAGGATTGCACCTACTTTGGCCTAACCCTCCCATTGCACACAGGCAATAGGTCACACACGTTGTGAGCTAGCATTCATCGGTGCAGCGTTAAACAGTTTTTTTGGACTTGTGATGCCTCTCCTGACATATAAGCGCCCCACACACCTGGTGTTACACAGGGATTTTACTTGCACAGAGCCTCACCAAGATGTGCCACTTCACTCAAATGTCTGGAGCACTCGGGGAAAAGGAACTGCATGTTTATCTTGATCTCCAAAAAGGGATTCCAGAGTGAGAGCAGGCGGTATATTAGGCTGTTTTCATTGCCTGTCAGCAGCAGTAAACCTGAGCTGTCCTCAGTGTCTCTAGATAAGCAGCAACACTGGCCCATTTTGCATGTGTATACTTGCATTAGGTTGCAGATGGGAAGTTTAAATCCTCTTTATTTTTTTTTTCCTCAGTGGAAAGAGGGAGCTGGGCTTGTGTCTTGCATCTGGACGCCAGTTTCTTACTGTCCCTCAACCTAAATCTTCACTGCTGGCTTTTCAGCTTGTGGCAATTAGGGCTGCTCACGGCATAAGATTTTTCTTGGTTGGGAATAAAAGGGTTTGGAAGTTGAAAAAAAGACAGGAACTCCTGATTCCAAATCCTGGCTTTTCGCTGCCTCCTAAAATATTGGGCAAGGCATCCAAGCCTCCTGCCTCAGTTTCCCTGTGTGCAATATTGCAGTCATACCTCTCTCAAGGGTATGGACAGACTATCACAGTTAAGTGAGTTAACTGCAGGGAGGGGATAGATCCTGGCTCATTTAGGGCTAACTTGTCCCAGTTTGCATTTTATGTACCCCAGGGTAATTGCAGACCTGCATCAGCTGCCACACATCAGCTGCTCCAAGCCCTTGCCCGCTGTTTACTAGCTGTCAGGTGATCCTTTAGCCAATCCCTGCATGCCTGTGATGTCAGCTCCTGGCCTGTGATGTCAGCTCCCTGACTCTCCAAAAGGAGAGCTTGCATCTGGCCATGGGTGCAAGGCTGTGCCTGACCCCAGCCTGGTTCACTGACCCCTTCAAGAAATGAGATCTGATGCATCCAACCATATTTCACAACCAGCAAAATCTTTGGCAGATGCACGTGTTGCCTGGTCCCTTCTCAGTCCTGGCACCAAGGCTGAGTCCTGCGAGTGCATCATTGCACTCCTTTGTGCTGGCTTGAGAGTATTTAATGCTGGCTCGAGTCACACACAGGAAAACCCCAGCTCCCAGATAATGGAACAATTCTCACATCAGGCTTTTTTTTTTTAAATTTTATTTTCAAGTGAACTTTGAAATACTTAACCCCCTTGCTAATTCCATTGAACTCCCTCTCAGCAAGGTGAGTTACATCCCCTAAGGGCTCATTTGAGAACATCGTGTGTTCGGCATTCATGACGGCAAAGGCAGAGCTGAACCTGCCTGCCTTGGAGACGGCGCTGCCTGTGACCTGCCTGCGGCGATCTCTGAGTAACCCCTAGCCCCGAAAGCTAGCTGAAGTGGGTTGCTTTCCGGTGGGGGAGGGCAAGTGGTGGTGCATGTGGTTTTTTAAGATCCAAACGAAGCAGGTATGTAATGCCCTCTGTCTGTTAGAAAGACTCAAGCCATAAAAATAACAAACGGCATGTATTTGCTAGAATGTCAAAGTTATGAGTTTATTTTGTAATGATGTGCTCCTGCCTTCATGAGGTAAACTGGCCGTGGCAGAGGTGTTATTAGTAATATGGACTCAGTGGAGCAGAAAGCGAGTGACCGAGAGATCAGTGTATCAGTCAGTGAGAGGGCAAATGGAAAGAGACAGCAGGAGAATGAGAAAAGAGCTGCGGTGCCTGAGCTGAGATTAGACTTGGAGCCAGGCAAGAGAATTGAAAGTCCAGCACTCAGAGGCTTATTCTTCCTGGCCTCTCTAAGGAGCCACTGGGGCTTTGTCTGTGACCATGCGAGTTATTCTGGCTTTTGTGTAGGGCTTTGGTTTCCCCCCTCCAAGGCGTAAGTCCCTTTGCCGCACCGCTCCTTCACAGCAGTGGCACTGGTCAAGTGAGCTGAATGTACGGTCCAGGCCCTGGAGAGACAGTCCTGTTCCCCACTCTGCTGCCGTGCGACTGCATCTCCCCGGACCTCAGTTTCCTCCCCTGTGAAACGACATGGTCGTGACTGTTGCTACAGTACAGCGAGGTGGGTAGAGAGGATCCAGACGTTGAAGCTGCTCAAGGAGCTTTGGGCTTCATCGCTGCATGGTGCATTGGTAGCGACTTACTGGAAGGGTGAACTGGAATGTGCCCATCTCCCCAAGCCCAGACCCAACAGAGCCTTTCATATGTTGCTTCACGTGATCCAACCTCTCTTGACAGGTGCTTGGACGGGAGGTGTACACCTCAAACAACCAGCTGGGTGGGATCCAGATCATGCACAACAATGGAGTGACACACAGCACCGTGTGCGATGATTTTGAAGGTGTCTACACCATTCTGCTGTGGTTATCCTACATGCCAAAGGTAAGCCCTGCTGTCGTCGCCATCACTCCCCTGCCTGGCATTTTTTGTCTTGTAGTTAAATTATGAGCTTTTTGAGGCAGGGGTTGGCTTTGTCCAGTGCTGAGGGTGCTGAGGCATCCTGATCTGTGATGGAAGCTCTTAAGCACTATGACAGTATTAAAAAAAACAACTCAGTGTTAAAGGAAACTGCATTGCTATCCAGGAACTCGGCCCCCCACACCTTCACATGCACCTGCTGGCATAGTAATAGTCTGGGCAGCAGGGGAGCCCCCAGACATAGTAAGATGGCTTTTACAGAACTCAGTCTAAAAGGACCTCCTCCCCAGCCATCATTTGTAGTAGTTAATATATGGGGAGGTTGCCAGGCAGCAAGAGGAATGCACAGGTCACCTTCCTTCAGGAAAGAGTGCATGGAGCGAATCAGGGGGCACTGTCACCTTTTTCAAATTAAATTGCAGCCCCGCCTGATGCTGGCAGTGTCTGAAGTTCGAGAACAAATAAAGTGCAAATATGGCAAATGAAGTCTTTATGTCCTTCAAACACTTAGGGATCATTTTCAGACTATTGCAAAGACAATGGGCAGCTGCTGTCATTGGGGTTGTACGGAGGAGGAGTGGGAAGCTTTCTGGGTGTCAGAAATGGGGATGGTGTCAGCCAGTTCCTTTTCATTTCTGCCCTTTGAAGCAAAGTCACCAAGACTAGAGGATGATTTCAGTCTTTTCTTTCTTTATCGCAGAGTGTG